ATTTAAAAATTTAATATTTCATAATTGACTTTTACGATGTTGTTTTAAGGACAGGTTACTCAGGTGTGAAAACTGACCAACTAAGTGCCGATAAGTTATCGTTTATAGGAATGACATATAGGCTGCTTCGGCATTGGTATTTTTTATTGAGGGGTATTGGAAGGAAATGAAAAATATAATTTAGAGTTTTGACAAAACCTAGAACCAGTTGACCTTTTTATTGCAAGTTTTTAAATTTAAAGAATATCTAAAATCAATACGGTCTCAACTTTGTGCTCTAAACTTCTGTTTTTAGAATGAAATTCGACACTTTGAAGCCACATTCGGAAAGAAGCAGAAACCGAATTAGATGAGCTAATATAGAATTAGACAGGAAAAACATATAAAAAAGTACGCAGGTAGGTTAAGGTTACAACCAAATATTCTACTTGCCTATATGTTATGACGTCATAGTTAGCTATATGACGTGAGGTCTAGAGATAATTATTTTTTTAAAATCGATATCTAAGATTGATTTGAGGTCGTAAAAATGAATCAATATATGCAAAGGCATAATATAGACGGAATTTTGTCGTTCCTGGGCCTCTGTAGTTATCACAGGAGTTACATACCAAACCCGTGACGTCATAACTGTTGATCATGCAATAGCAGAGTGAAAGTGAAATGTAGCGAGAATTGATGTAAACAAACACAAGAAATCGGGAGTTTAAAAGCATTCAGCATGAATATCAAGTGTGATTCTTGTGGGAATAAAGCGTATGAATAAGGTATGGTAATCTAATTTTGCAATTTCTTCGTAAAATTATAGCAGGGAGAGTGTTTACTTGCCGATCAGCCTTTCCTCTGTCGTTTGTAACAAAAAAGATGCAAAAGTTCAACACTACGCCGCATACCTTGAAACTTAATTTTTGTTTCTATCTAAAGTTCTTATTCTTTTGTTTTTGGAAAGTGCTGCTAGAATCGTATGGTTTACGGGAATTGATGTTTTTTTTTTAATGTTATGAACAAAATGTAAAAATTTCGGGAAGGTTTCGTCCGAAATTGTTGATTAATTATTTCTACAATAGGACAGTACGATTCTAGCAGCACTTTTTATGGTACAGAGATGTTTTTACATAACTATTATTACAAATTGAAACTAATTATCCCCGGGGTAGTGTTAAACTTTTCACTTTTTCATTAAGGCATATTTTCTAATTACAGACGTCACGTGATGACGTTGTGGTGAAGTGCCTCCTGTAGTATAAGTCTCGTTGAAGTCTATAGAATGCATTATTAAAGCAAAAGTTTTATCCTTAACTTTTCCGATTTATTAGTGCTACATAATTATAAAAAAAGTGTTAATTCGCCGAATTCCGATCCATGTGTTGCCTTAACATACCCGCGTACATTTAGTAAAAACGATAACTTTTTAAAATAAAAAGATAAGACATTGAGATTTCTTGGAATTTAATTGAATTCAATAAACATGCATTCATCATCATTGCTCAAGCTCAACTGAAAATTGTTCCCAGTATATGAAACCAAAGCTGTATAATATTATTACATTTTAATTTTATCACTTTTTCAGATTATGAGAATACATTTTACAGTGCAGACCATTGATGCTGGAAGTGAATGGATAGTGTTACCGGAGACTCAGGGATCCAGAAAATAGATCCATAAATTGTACAGAGTATTCATGAAAGTGGATCAAATAAAAATGTACAATCCAAAAGCAACATTCTTTGTTTGTCTTTTTTTTATTGATGTAAATCTAATAACTATTAATTTTTGGCATGCAGATTCATAATTAGGTAGTAGAAGAATCTGAAACACATCTTTATATTCTGCATTTTGAAGTATCATAATTAAGACAAGGTCAATAATTTATGATCAATCAATTGATTTCATAACTGATAAAATGTTTTTGTGCAAAAAAAAAAAAAAAAAAAAAGAAGGTGGGCTAGTTTAAAGTCAGACGACAGTTCCTCAAATTTTATGTTATTTATCTCTAGGTATGATATAAAAAATATTTGTATTTGTCATTCTCTTCCGATTTCTACATTGTTTTCAAAATGTTTTTAAGTATACCAGGGGTGATCAAAAAGTTCGCAAACTAATTCTCTATCTACCTAACTAAAGTTCTGACAAGAATGAAATTTGTCACAAATATAGCCCTAAACATGTGCTTAATGCAGTATGAGTCATGTTGAAATGTGCGTCATAATTATGATGTCATGATGTTAAAATGACGTCAATATAGAGGCGACTGTGACGAAAATGGATGAGTCAATCATACTTGAACAAAGAACTATAATAACGTTTTATGTAAAACTAGGTAAATCCTTCACGGAAATATACGATGATTTACATAAAGTTTATGGGGAATGTGGGCTTTTAAAAGGTACAATAAGTAAGTCGATGAAACGTTTTATTGAGGGAAGGGAGAGGGTGAAAGATGATGATAGATCTGGGTGCCCGCTGAACGTAAGTACCGAGATAAACGTGTCTGAGGTTGAACAATATGTAATGAAAGATCGAAGAGTTACGATTAGGGAAATAGCTAATGATCTTAGCATGTCTCATGGAACAATTCAAGATATTTTAACGAGTAAGCTTAACATGCAGCGAGTTTGTGCGAGATGGGTCCCTCGCCTCCTTCTGCCAGAGCAAATGAGAATGAAAGTCAATGCGTGCCGGTCCTACGTTAGTAGATATGAAAAGGAACAAAATTATTTCATGAATAGTATCATCACATGTGATGAAACTTGGGTATACATTTCTATGAGCCAGACAGTAAACAACAACGTTCAATTTGGAAGCATCCTTCCTCGCCATCACCAATAAAAGCACGCGTAACAAGTCAGCAGGGAAGGTTATGCTCATAGTTTTCTGTGACATCAACGGTATAATTCTAAATCACATGTTACCACCCAAAACTTCAGTTACTGGGGACTACTATGCATGGGTTATCAAATCAGATTTGATGAGAGCAGTAAAGAGAAAGCGCCCAGATTTGATAAGATCTGGATTCATTCTGCACCATGATAACGCACCTAGCCATAAAAGTCGGGTTGTGATGGACACCATGGAAACACTGGGTACAGAAAACCTAATGCATCCCCCCTACAGCCCAGATTTGACAATTTTTGACTTCTGGCTATTTCCAGTTTTGAAAGATTACCTACGGAGAGAAAAATATGAGTCCCGGAAAGATCTTGGTACTGCTGTGAACAAGGTGCTAAGGGTCACATCACGCGATGGCTTGGATCACGTGTTTCGCGTATGGGCAGACCGACGGGAAAAGTGCATAAAAGCTAGAGGGGCCTTCTTTGAAAAAGAATAAACTCAAAATCTTACTTTGAAAAATATTTTAAAAGTTATTCAATTCGTTTGGGAACTTTTTGATCACCCCTCGTAAGTACAACAAAAAATTTCGATATATGCCATTCAAAAGATTACCCATTTATTCAGTTATTATGAAATATCTTTTAGGGTCATTTCAAGTTTAGACATTCATAGAAATAATATAGCCCTTCCAGATTTTTTTAGGTACCAGTAACTACTGAGGTCTTAGCTGTCTAGCAATATTGTTTGAGCAGCAGGAGAATATATCATCGGTTCAATACCAAAGGTTGCAGTCATTCGTTCTTAACAGACATGGTATCGTTTTCGAAAGTGCATGGTGTGGGGTAGGCATAAAATAACTGCAAGAAAAAAAGTTGGGAAATTCTCCAAACTCGGGGGGGGGGGAGGGGGTAAACATCAGGTTATGATGAGAAAAGAGTTGGATGGGGGATGTCATCCCCCCCCCCTAATCCAACCCAACTCTCTTTCATAACCTAGAATTATTGTGAGCAAGTTAATAAAATGATACCCACCCTCCTGCTATTGCATTAAATGTTTTTTATTACAAAAAAGGTCCAAATATTAATTTAAAACCTTTTTAAAACTTTGCTATTGTAGCTATACATACCCATATGACTATGACATATACTCAAGTCATAGGTAGTAAAATCGATGTGTTGAGCACAAACTTCCAATTTCTCTTCATTCGAAGTTAAATATGTAAATGTGCCAAACTCATATAGTACACTTTTACTGCAATGACCTTGAAAAAGCTATGTCCTTGAGTCAAGGTCAAACATGTCCAAATGAACTTTGGTCAAGGACATGACAAATCTACAGCTCAAAAATAATCCCTGACACAGTTTTTGTAAACAGGGCTCGAGTTCTGTTATTGTTTATATTTAGAATTCTCCGGGTGCTTTCAATCGTCACAGTCTGCTTACCACAACTGCACGGACTGACAATATATTGTGTGTTTGTTTTGCTTTCGAACATGTCTACTCTGAATTTTCTGGATTATAGTGTTAATATTTTTCATTTATACAAAACGAAATTGCCACTTTTCCTAAGGATTAAAAATAAAATTAAATTTGTGAAAGTGCAAGGATATGTCAATCAAACTCGCCGAAAATTTTAAAATTTCAATATCTTTTAAACGAAAAAAGATTTTTAATTAATTTTTGTGTGAAATGCTATTAAAATATATAATTCGTAATATTATACAGAAAATAATAACTTCAAATCTGTGTCCAAGTACCTTTCATAGACTCAACAAACTTAATATGTCCTGAGCAGATATCATGATATTAAAAAATAACATATATTTCAAGGAAAAAAAATTCCATTTCAATTTCATTAACATTTCAGAGGTCAATTACACATCTTCCGCCAATTTTGCGAACATTGAGACTAATTTTCCTAAAATCTTTGGATATTACTTTGGATATTATTTTTGTGCAAGAGTTTTAAGGTGAGATGGGTTAAGGATGAAATAATTGAAATAAGTTATAATTTGTTGCATTTCAATGTGTAAAATATTAAATAAAGATGACTTTTACTGTCATGAACATTTCCCATCTACTTAATAACTTAAGCACAGCATGAATAAAGTTATTCAGATGCCAGTCGCGTAGTTTGGACAGTCTTCATTAAGGAAATAAATAAAAGAATGTCAATATACAAGGTCATTCATTAAAATATTCTTGACAATTCAGTTTTCAATAATAAGACAGTAACATACATGTACACAGCTTAAAGAAACCAAAATACACTTTTGCTTTCTCGATCAGTCATCCCGTTTTCGTTTGCGTGATGTCCATCCCAGTTCACTGATCACATCATTTCTGTCTATAAATGTCAATGCATTGCAAATCTTCTGTCGGCTAAGCATGTAACGACATTCCTCCTGTATTTTTGTAAGTGATTTATATATTTTATCCTGTATCTTCAAACCATCTGCTTCCATTTGTTCGATATATCTTTGAGCAAGCCCCAAAAAGCGGACGAAATGAGTGTAGTCTTTTGAAAGATATTCGGACAATGTTTTGAATTCCGTTGTTGAAACATTCTGATCAGGGCTAATCACGCCAATACAGGTAAAGTCTGTAATATCAAATGTTCTAAGGTATTCCGCAGCTTGTCCTTGGCCTTCTCTCTGTAAAATGCTTTCTAATTCTCTCAAATGATCAAGGTGTGCATTTTTTGATTTCCATTGGTATAAGATTCTAAATACTTTCTCCTCAAAACTGAGTGTAGGAGAGACATCAATACTGACTTCAAATAGACCCTCTAAAAGACTGATTCCTATGCCTCGGATTTTTCGTGTAACTGCATTAAGAACCAGTTCTACAGCTGGAATATAAGAATATACAATGTGTGTATGTAATATAAGACATTGCAATGTCAAGTTCAGATTATAATTACCTTGCAGTTTTAAAATTCTCTTTATATTGCGTACATAGCATATAAAATTAATATCTTGCGGAAAAATTAACTTCTACAGTAACCTAGAGTAATCGATCCCAAAGTCCATATTGGATTATTACAATTTGCTTTAGTACATTCTGCGTCGAAATCAAGGCAGAATGTAATAACACAAAATGCACAAAACACACCTTCTTAGGATTATTACATTTTGCTTCTCTTTCTCTCCAGTAATAAACTGGATTGGTTCTGCTTTTCATACTAATATAATGGTCAACATACGAAGTAAAAACCCACCCAATCCCTGCACCTCGTCGCTAGACAAACACACATTCACTTCTAATTTGCTTACCAATGTACACATGCCAAACATGCATATCAAGAGTTTTTAATGGACCTATGGTCAATCTTTGGTATTTGAAAATAGTTAGATACTTAATAAGACTGATTTATAAACAAGAGGCCCAGGGGCCACATCGCTCACCTGAGCACATCGGCTAGGAAAAAGTACAAATTAGATCAGAATTGAAAAGTTTACTGAGGGGTGGGGGGGGGAGGACCTGAATTCTAATACTACTTGAGAATGCCACTATATCAATTCTGCATATAGCTTCTTGAGAGAGAGATTTTTAAAGATTTATTTATTTAAACATTTTGTTTGAATATTTTACTTTGTAATAATTTGAAATTGACTCCCTATCGTTTCTTCCCCTATACCAAAGGTACTCATGATTTGAACAAAATTAAATCTACAATACATGATGATGCTTGCATGTCAATATGACTCAACATAACTTTTCTATTATCGAAATTTTCCCTTTAAGTAACTATGTTAAAATTTGATTCACCAGTGAGACCCTTCCCTACACTTGGGGGTTATGATTTGAACAAAATTCATTCTACACTACCCGATGATGCTTTCATATAAATATCACTAATTATGGCTTTGGTATTCTGTAGAAAAAGTTTTTAAAAAAATATTTTAATGTAAAACTTGGATCTGCCATTGTAGCCCCAACCTATCCCTAGGGGTTATGATTTAAAGAAACTAGAATCTACAGTACCTGAGAATGCTTCCATAAAATATCACTAATCATGGATTTGCAGTACTTAAGAAAACTTTGATCGGCCATTTTGACCCCACCCTACCCCCAGGGGCCATGATTTGAACAAACTTGTATGTACACTATCTGAGGATGAATCAACATGAGATTCATGTTTCCTATCACAGTTGTTCTTGAGAAGACGATTTTTAAAGATTTTTTTCATATATATTCCTATGTAAAACTTCGATCGGTCATTGCGGCAACATCCAACACACGGGGGACATGATTTGAACAAACTTGAATGCAAACTACCTGAGGATGATTCCACATGAGTTTCATCTTTCCTGTTCCGATGGACTTTGTGAAGATTTGTTAAATATCACCGTATACAACGGGTAACGCGGGGGAGTCGCTAAAAAGTATGGGGGAGTCGTTTTCAACGTATGGGGGAGTAGATTTTCACCGCTTCGGAGTCAGAGGAGATGTGGGTCACGTCTTTTTTCGGTATATATAAGATGTATTTACAAAAATGAAATAGCCCACGGAAGATGGCAATAGTTAAGCTTTATCGTGGTCATTTGTCCGGCTATCCTATACGTCTAGTTTTCTCAAACACTTCGAAACTATTTGACAGTTTTCATATTTACGTTGATCGGGTAGTAAAAACATACATGATTTGAACAATCTACGGCTTGCGTAGGGATTCTCACATTTAAAACAGCGAGAGAAAACGTTTATCTTTTAAATGCAACAACTTAAACTTGACTAGACTTTATAAAAATTAATAATTAAGACATTTTCTCCTCAGACAGTAACGGATACGTAGGGGGGAGTCGTTTGTGGGAAAGCACATGGCAGGGGGAGTCGCAAAATAAAGTCAAATGCATACATTTGGTGTTGTTTTCATCTCTTTTATACTGCCAATACCATTTTTATTTACTCGTAGATATCTATAAATCTATGTTTGGTTATTTACTTTATAATCTGAAGTTACGAAAAGAGATTTTTCCAGAAAACAATCAGCAATTAAAATTACATGAACAATTGGATTATATATCATGGGAGCACATGTGCTTCGGTACAGGATCCTCCCCCTCAGTATGTAGTATTCGTACATGTATATCACAAAAAATTCAATTCACGAACATTCACTTTCAATATGAAAGCGTCTCCATAAAAAAGAACAACCCGATTAATAATTTGGAAAATTTCTTAATAATATCAAACAATTTTTATGCGCCCGAATTTTTTCGGGGCGCATATTGTTTTTGTCCTGTCTGTTTGTATGTTTGTCTGTTTATCTGTTTGTCTGTCTGTCTGTTGTCAACTTTAACCATCGCCAAAACTTTTAAACCGTAAGAGATAGAGACTTCATATTTGGTATGCATACTCCTCTAATAAAGTCATTTCAAATGACATCAAGGTCAATGACCTTGTGACCTTCACTGTGATCTATATGCTAAAAATAGCTTTTTCCACTGTTTGTCATAACTTTTTAACCATAGGAAATAGGGACTTCATATTTGGTATGTATATTCCACTAATAGAGTCCTTTCGAACGACGACAAGGTCAATGATCTTGTGACCTTGACTGTGACCTATATGCTAAAAATAGCTTTTTACACTTTTTGCCATAACTTTTGATCAATAAGAGATAGAGACTTCACATTTGGTTTGCATACTCCACTAAAAAAGTCCTTTCAAATGACACCAAGGTCAATGACCTTGTGACCTTGTCTGTGACCTATATGCTAAAAATATCTTTTTCCACCGTTTGTCATAACTTTTGAACCATTAGAGATAGGGACTTTATATTTTGTTTGCATACTCCACCGATAAAGTCCTTTTAAACGATGGCAAGGTCAATGATCTTGTGATCTTGACTGGACCTATATGCTAAAAATAGCTCTTTACACTTTTTGCGATAACTTTTGAACCAAAGGAGATAGGGACTTCATATTTAGTATGCATACTCCACTGATTAAGTTCTTTTAAATGACACCATGGTCAATGACCTTGTGTCCTTGACTGTGATCAATATACTAAAAATAGATTTTTTGAACTTTGTTGCCGCCGGGCGCATAGTGTTTCACAAACACATCTTGTTTTTTTTTTTTGCATGTCAAAATTTTTCAGGTTAGTTGTCTGTAATTTTTGTTTGTAATACTTTTAAAAATTGTTACATAAATTTACACTAAAAAGAAAAACCTTTCTACTGTTTTCATAAGTCAAATAAATAGCTGTTTTAACCGTGGCGCAAGATGTTGGACCTTTCGATGAGATATTGCACCGTTTACGTCAAAGTGTGGGCGGGGTCAGCTGTCAGAACTTTACGGAATTGACAGTTTTTTCAATGCAGTGGGGGTTAACAAAAATTTCATTACGATAATATCATAATAAACAGTAAAATGTATAACAAAACATTTATAGAATGTATTCTCTAGATCTGGCAAAACGTGATTTGTCGACTCCTTGAAAAAAACTGTTTGCCTTCGGCCTAATCGTCTCGTGCAAACAGTTTGGTTTTTGAGTCCGACAAAACGAATGTTGCCCTTGAACCCTGTCTATGAATGTATAATGCTGGTTGCCCCCGACTGATTCAGGTACAACAACCCGCCATGCTATGTGTTCACGAAACTGCGAAAGGGTAAAGGGGGTAACATGTTGGGCAAGGTAAGGGAAGGTATCGTGATAATGAAATGTATACATTGAAGAAATATTTTCGTATTTCCTCTTTTTCAAAGTTTGTGGTTAATTTTTTTTAAAATTAACACTTCTCATGTTATTTATCACAGACATACATTTCTCGCGCTCTAAGTAATATGCAATCCAGTCCTTCTTCAGCCTTCATTCTGTACATTAACCTATGTGTATCCAAAATATTCTCAATTAACATACTGATTCCTTTGTGTCTGAAGATGGGTTACTTTATATTATAGATAAATAATAAACTGTGAACCTAATCGTGAGAATATACCAGTTAAATCTAACCCCTTTCCAAAGAAAACGTCAAGGGGCGTTAATTAAGACACGTCAGGGATCTGCCTTTTTCTAATTAAAAATAACGGATAATATTTTCAAGAAATTTTCAAATTATAAATCTGGTTGATTTTTTTTATGGAGAGGCTTTCATATCGAAAGTTAGTGTTCTAAATTCGTGAATTGAATTTTTGTGATATACATATACTAACATTACATACTGAGGGAGAGGGTCCTGTCCCCACGCACATGTGCTCCGATGATATATTATCCGATTGTTCATGTAATCTAAATTGCTGATTGTTTTCTGGAACTGATAAAGCCACAGAAAAAATCTCTTTTCGTAACTTCAGATTATAAAGTAAATAACCAAACATAGATTAATAGATATCTACGAGTAAATAAAAATAGTATTGTCAGTATAAAAGAGATGAAAACAACACCAAATATATGCATTTGACTTTATTTTGCGACTCCCCCTGCGATGTGCTTTCCCATAAACGACTCCCCCCTACGTAACCGTTACTGTCTGAAGAGAAAATGTCTTCATTATTAATTTTATAAAGTCTAATCAAGTTTAAGTTGTTGCATTTAAAAGATAAACGTTTTTTCTCGCTGTTTTAAATGTGAGAATCCCTACGCAAACCGTAGATTGTTCAAATCATGCATGTTTTTACTACCCGATCAGCGTAAATATGAAAACTGTCAAATAGTTTCGAAGTGTTTGAGAAAACTAGACGTATATGACAGACGAACAAATGACCAAGATAAAGCTTAACTATTGCCATCTTCCGTGGGATATTTGATTTTTGTAAATACATCTTATATATACCGAAAAAAGACGTGACTCACATCTCCTCTGACTCCGAAGCGGTGAAAATCTACTCCCCCATACGTTGAAAA